TGTGTGTGTGTGTGTGTGTGTGTTTGTGTGTGCATGTAGGCGGAGCACACACATGGACCATGGCATGCTCGTTGGTGGTGAGAATGTTCCGTTGATGGGCATTGGCAGGGTGTGTGTGCATGTGTGTGGATGCCATCCAGAGGGGCCCATGTGTGGGCCCCGCCGCACTACTCACTAAATGCGAAAGGAAAAAACCACTGGCTGGTGCATCTTTTTTTTTTTTTTTTTTGCACCTCGCAATGATTTATCTTCCTCATGCGGGTGTACCTTTTCATGTTGTCGAGGGAGGTCCTTCTCATTTTGCACATTTGGTGAGTGGCGTGGCAAGGCCATGTGTAAAGCACAACGGGCCACCACGTCGCGAAAACACAGAACAAAAATGTGACAGCTGGACCCCTGGTAACTGGATTTGAACCCGGGCCTGCCCTAGACGAGCTGTTGAGCATTCTCGCACAAAAAAAGAAAACAAAAAAGCATGAAAAAAAAAGCATAATGAACACACCTATAATTTGCCACTTCTTTTAGAATAAGAAGAAGAACCACCTGACAGCAGACACAGAAATAAGCTTGCAAGAAAACACAACGGAATACGACCGAACCCTTTCTTTCTTTACTTCAGTGTTTTGTTTGGGAAGCGATTACCTTCTCAGCATCGCTTCATCTTTTGTACTGTGTGAAACGATGCACAAAGTTGCAGTTGGAAATCTCTGAACATGTCTGAGAAAACGCTGTCCCATTGATCCGTTTGCTAAAGGATTCCAATTCTCAGTCAGTTTGATGTGTTTTCCGAATATGTTTGTGATCAACCAATGTTGTATGCGGGCCATGTGCATACTTGCTGAGTTTCGACTGTGTGTGTGTGCAAGTGCATGTGTGTGTGGGAGTCCCAGTTTGGTGGGTCCTGATGGTGTGCTTGACGATTGGCCGAGGGAAGTTGTCGGATGCGGCCTTCAATTATAAGTAACGCACTAATGTTAAGCAGGTCCCATGATATTTGTGAATGAAGTAACCAGTATCCATTCTGCTTGTCAGTTGCTGTTCGGTGGCGGGAGTTGTCGGATGAACCGTTGTCATATGAGCTGTAATGCTGGGCGTGCATCTTGGAGCATTTCCTGGAAAGGCAAAAGCCAAGACGAAACCGAGCAGCACCAGTCAGAATCACATAATAGAGAG